CACACACCGAGGCCCCTGCAGCACTTTGGACACCAGTGTCCCACTCTGAACCTGCTGCCACGTGCAGTATGCCTGGTCTGGGGGCATTCCGTGTAGGCTCAAGTTCAAGGTCTAGTGACCTTGGGAGGGGTGGGTCCTGGGCCTCTCGGAGGAACCTTTCTCCACGGCAACTCTCGGTCACTGGGACTTGTCCCCAGGTCTCATCAGCTCTCCGATCTGCTGGTCCTTCAGCTTTACCAGGCGCTCCAGCCTGACCACCTTCATCTGCAAGATCTTCAGGAGAACATACATGACTGAAAGGCAGCACCCTGTCCACCTGCGGGAGGTCGGGCAGGGTCAGCCGCAGGCTGAGCGTCCAGCTAGCCCCACTGTGAGGGCCACATGGCCAGTGCTTAGATCAAAAGCCCTCAAGCGGGGCCCCGAGGGAAAGGTCCTGTCAGAAAGGAGCGCAGTGCGCCCGGGGTGACCATGCAGTTGGGGCTTCTGGGCAGCAGGAATAGAGTTGGGGAGGCAGGACGTGGGAGGAAGGGGGTGGTTATGGGAGCTGCTGGCTTTCCTCCCTCACCCCTTCTGGTACATTCCTGGGTCCTGGCTGGCCAGAGCTGCCCAGACCTCGTGGAGCGCCCCCAGCCTGCGCCCTCTGCAGCCCCACCCTGCTGGAAGAGACCCGCCTGGTCCCTGGCAGGTTTGGGGGGCATGCTTGTGGTGTTAATGGTTGAATGAATGTAGGCGTTGCATTTGGGCAGCACGCGCACTCTTTACTCCTAAAAGTTAACAGCCAAGGAAACGTTCCCATGCTAGGTCGGTGCACGAGGAACCGCCAGGCTCCACACCGCAGGCTGTCCGGGCCGTGGGCACAGCTCCTGAGCCACATCACAAACCTTCCCTTACTGCAAGCACAGCCCCGGGCACACCACAGCAGGCGAGAAAAAGCTTGTCTGCCCCAAACACGGAGGTGAAGCCAGTGGTGTGGCGGCCCACGCTCTAGCCACGGAGACAGCTCCAGTGGGTCCAGGCCTGGGGTCGGCGTCTCATCAGACAAACCCCTCCGTGAGCCCTGGCCAGCGTGGGCCAGCGTGACCCGGCATGCCCCCACCTCATGCGGCTGGCCACACGCCCCCACGCCCACTCCCCAGTCCGAGCTGTGAAGACCCACGGCCGCACGCAGAGCTAGTGCTGTCCGCCCGGATGACCCACAGCTGCTGTTCCACAGGCAAACCAAGGAACGCACCCCCCCCCGGGGGGTCTGTCCTCTCCCCGGGGCGGCTCTCCCATCGGCGCCGATCGCGGCCGCTCTGCGGTCACTTCGAGTGGCAGGTGGAGCTGTGTTCCCCTCCGGGTTTGGTGAAGTGAAACGGTTACGATGAGCTTTGCTGGCACATGGACCAGTGCCACAGGCGTGGGCATGACAGTGACGTCAGCCCCATTGCTGCTTATCACTTCCTCTCTGCTGCCTTCAGCAAATCCCAACCACATGATGATATCACTTTCCAGCTTCCTCAAGAAAACAGCTCATCAGAATTTGGGTATCCGCTAGGGAACTGTGCTGTTCTCACAGTTCTTGATGGCTCTTTGGCCCTGAAACCCGACTGGTGTGGCCTGCACACCCCCACCCTCCCCGCACCGTCTCAGGCCCAAACCTGCAGCCTGAGCTCCCACAGGGGTGGGGGGGGGGTGGCCCCTCTCTATGTCAGTGAGGGACTGGAGCACTTCCTGAACCCAGGAACGCAGCAGACCCTTAGTGAAGGAGCAGAGGAAGAGCCACGCACCTGTGGAACCAGGCATGTGCCCTGGGGGGGTGTTTTCTGGTCCCTGACTCAGCCCCCAGCCCTTGGGCCTGTGATCCAGCACCTCTGGGTGGTGGCACCTGTGACTGTCTATAGTCCCCGTGGGCCCTGGGGTCTGGTAACTGCCGAGGCTGGGTGGTGGTGAGTCATGGGGGATGGAGGTCCACCATACTCTTCTCTCTGCTTCTGGGTACGTTTGGAATGTTCCACAGTTAAGTTCTTTTCTAAATAGTCAAACTGACTGTGGGTTCTCCCTGGTCAGGGACCTTGCCTGCCCCACCTACTGCCATACCCACACTGGGTCCCAGCTTCCCGGAAGGGAAGGCAGCCCCCCTGCTTCCTGGAGGGTGTCTGGGCATTGAGGGGCACCCAGGTCACTGCACCTTGACCATCTCCTGCAGCACGGCCAGAGCCTGCTCCTTTTCCTCCAGTAGCTGCTGCAGCCCAGGGTCCAGGTGCTCCCAGCACCCACCGGCTGGGTCCTGACCGAAAGGCAAACACCCAGCCTTTAACCCAGAAGGCTGGTGGGGGTGAGTTGGAGTGGAGCGGCTGAGGTCAGGAGACAGGGCCTGTCTTCTCTGGAGTCCTCGGACTCCGGAGGGTCTTCGCACTGGAGGGTGCCGTGGGGTGCAGCAGGTCTGTGAGACAAGGAGACGCACGGGCTCAGGGAAGAGGCTGACGCAGCAACAGCACAGGGGGTAGGTAGGGGTGGGGCACAAAGCCCACAGAGGCACCACGCAGGCGCCCTCTGGCCCGACGCCACCGCGCAGTACGGCCCTGGATGCTTCGGAATGGCCCCCACATGGACTGCGGACAGGGCCGCGGGCTCCCACTCGGGAAGCTGCAGCCTGGGTGGCCTTGGAGCCAGTATTCCCCTGACCAACCCCTCAGAGCAAGGACCTGCCCTCCTGGGGGTATGAACTCCAGAGAGCCACATGCCTCGTCTGACACTGCCCTTCGTGGGAGGCCTGAGGGGGTTGTGACGGGCCTCAGTTCCCCAAATCTGGGGATGTGGATACTACCGGTGTGTGCCAGGGTGGTGAGCTCTGCCCATGGTCTGTCAGCATTAGCACTGGTGGGTCCTGGGTCCTGCAAAGATTTTAAAGGTCGTACGGTGAGGGCCGGCCGAGGAGGGGCTGCTCATCGTTCATGTTGCCGACATACCTGTTTCTAGGCACAGATGGTGGGGGAGCAAACTGGAGAGGAGCCAGCATGGCCCGGGCTGGCCTGGGCGCAGGGAGTTTTCGCCGTCCCGGGGCCAGTGGGTCAGGCCAGGAAAGGGCCAAGGGCCGGGGCTTCACTAGTCTGCCCCCCAGGGTTGCGGGTGTGCAGGGCCTTCGTCACCACGGGGCCACATCCCAGCATGACGAACGCAGCAGGTCAAAGGCCGTACAACGGCCCCGACACTCGGGGCTGTGGAGAGCGAGGCTTGCTGGACAGCACCACCCTTCACCTTTTCCCTCAGCGCACACACGATGGGCTTGATGGCCCTGGGCGTGTTGGCCGCCACCCTTCGGATTTCCGTTTCTGCGACCCACAAACGCAGTTGTGAAGGACTTTCCTGCAAAGGGAGTGGGGGGCAGTCCTCAGAGCGGCGCACTTTGTGTGGCCGGGAGGTGGGTCTGGCTTCCCTTGGAGGAGAGGCCGGTGCTCGTACGTTCTTGCCCCTGCACCCACGGAAGCCCCACAACCACCCTGTTGCCAGCCGTGCCATCCGGGGCCAGAGCCGTCAGTGTCCCGCACCTTCAGGCCGGCCTGTCCCAGCCTGGGCCTCTGTGGGAGAGCTCACCTTCTGGCGAGGAAGTCCTGCTGGCTCCCCTCCCAAGTGCTCAGGATCAGACTTCTTACCACCCCTAGAGCCTCCCCCCTCACCCCCGGGGTTGAGCAGCGGCCTCCACCTCCCCCCAAGTCCCCTCTTCCCCCGCAGCTCTCTGAAATGCGTCCCACCCGAACCTGCCCAGGTCCCAACCCTGCATAGTCCCTTCTAACCCCGTCAGGCTCGGAGCCAGGTCCTGACCATGGCCTCCAGGGGCCCCGCGCAGCTTCAGCTCCCCCGGCCATCCAGCTTCAGGAGCACAGGGACCCTGCTCCCTGCTCCCCAGGGCAGCCTCCGCTGCCCCCCTAGGTCAGCCACACCTCATTCTGCTGTCACTTCCTCAGGGCCCTTGTCCTTCCTGTTACCCACCACGACTGATGCTGGTTACATCTATGTCTTCCCGGTAGACAGAGCGGCAACCCCATGAAGGCAGGGGCCTGGAGCAGAGCCTGCCACCCAGAATTACTGAGAGTCAGTGAGTGAGAGGTGCGGTCAGCATGGGTTGAGCACAGTCGGAGGGTAGGACTGATGTCCTTGTGGGTGGGTCTCAAGATGACCGTGCGGTCCTCTTGGTGGCTGATGCTGAGACTCCAGTGGATAGGGGACACAAACACTGACAAGGCTGTCAGGGAACAGCCCGAGAACGTGCCCGAGACGGGAGGGTTGGGGAGAGCGGGGAGTGGGACAGGGAGGCTCAGGCCTGCCTGCTGAGAATGCTCTAGTTGCTGAGCTTCTGGTCCGTGTTGCAGGCGGGGACGTAGCTGAGCAGATCCACAAGCCGGGGCAGAAGTGCTTCCCGATCTCCGCCCGCATCACTGGAGGGGCGGGGGGGGGGGGTGGTCAGCCTGATGAGCTTAGAAGCCCTGCTCTCCTTACACATCAGTCTCCCAGGGCCCCCGAGGTGGAAGAGGTCAGACACCAGGCAGAACCAGGGACAGTCCGAGTCCTGGGGGAGCGGCCACCGGGGCCAGCCTGCAGGTCCCCAGCAGCGTGTGGGTGCCCCCCGGGGAGAGGGCTGGGAGAGCCGGCCTGGGGTCCGAGGAGCTGCAGGAGGAACGCTGAGGCTGCCCCCTCCTCTCCAGGAAATGCTGGGGGAGGGGAATTCCCCCCAACGGCAGCTGGACGCAGCAGGCGGCGCGCGTCCGCACGTGGCTCCTCCTCCAGGGGCCGCATGTCGGCCCGTCTCTCCGTACCGCCTGTTCCTTCCAGAGCGCCCCTCACGCCCCTGTTCTGGGGTCTCCTGCACTTGCAGGGAGCCTGCGCGGCTGGGACGCTTCGCAGGCACCGGCCGGGCCCTGCGGCCTCCACCCACCCCGGCCGGGCACCCCCAAGCCCTCGGTCCTCCCGCCAAGGGCCCCAGCCTCGGCAGTCCCCTGCGTCTCCCCGCCGACCCGCCTTCACCGCCGTCGCTGAAGTCCCGGGCCAGGTGGCGCTTGGGGCGGCCGAGCGGGAGCCCGTCCAGCCAGGCGCAGAGGCCGTGTGAGGCGCCGGGCGGTAGCCGCGGCGGGGACTGCGCGCTCCGCCCCGATGCGCCCAGCGTGGCGGCGGGACGGGCGGTTGGGGCCGTTGCCGGGAGACGGCGGCCGGAGAGCCCCGGGGGCCGGAAGGGGCGGGGCGGCGGGAAGGGCTGTTGGGGCCGTTGTCTCCGCGCCCTTGGGCTGCCGACTCACGGTGGGGGAGGGGTCCTGCTAAAGTCCAGGAGACAAGGTAGAATTTTGGAATTGTCGGTTTCCAGCGCACGCTTTAACAAGCACTGAGCCCTTAACGTGTTATAAATTGTATCCCACATTGTTTTACACTCCAACATCGATTTAATAAAAATCTTCGATTATTTAGAACTTGATCAATAACTTAATCAGAAAATACACACACTTCATTGCAGTTTCGGCCCTGCTGCGGGCACGGGGCGCGGGGGGGGGGTGCTTCCAGAGCAGCGGCCGGCCGCAGGTGCCCCTCGGGGTGCGGGACCCCCGGGGGGGGCGCAGTGCAGAAGGCCGGGGGCGGTCGGTGGGCGGCCGGTGGGAGAGGGGAGTCCGGCCCGGCTCTTCTGTTGGCACTTCTCAGGCCGCACCCAGGCCCAGCGCCTGCAGCCCCGCGTCACCTCCTCTGCACCGGGGGCTTCAGAGCAGCCTTCGGAACAGCGGCGCCCTCGGAGGAAGAAAAAGAACCGATGCTAAAATGCATCTGCTACCAAGAGCACAAATGAATCATACTTCCTTTTGCATTTCCTAAAATGTACGTCACCGCTGACGCAACATGGAGTCATGCGGCTCACACTTGCGGCCACAAGATCAGCAGCTAAGCCTTGCGAAGCTTACACTGTCTCCCTTGTACTAGTATAGAAGGAAAAGATTCACAGCCAACAGGAGCGGCTCCCTGAAAAGTCCCGACAGTGTCAAGTGGATGTTGAAACAAACCTGGCGGACCGTGTCCCCCTCAGGACTGTGCCCCAGCCAGCCAGCCAGGGAGACTGCGCACCCTGCTGCCCAGCGCCCTGGGAGAGAGAGGCTCACCTGCAGAGGTCCAGGGTTGGACCCTCCAGCCCCAGGCTTGACTGGTGGCAGCGGGGGTGGGAAGGTCGGCTTCACACCCTGCAGGACACAGACAGCGGACGCTGGACACCATTGAATGCCCCGTCTTCCCCAGCATCTCCTAGCAAAGTTCCCCAGGTGCATTCTGCTCCTGACCCCCCTGCAGGCTTCTCGGCAAAGTGTCCCCAGCTGGGGCAGAGTCAAACCCAAACGTGGCAGAACCCCCTCCTGGGCCCATCAGCCACAACCTACCTCACCACCTCCCCCTCTCCCTCAGCATCCCCACTGCACCCCACCGCACCCACCCCACCCCAGGGTTTCCCAAGAAAAGCTCTTAAATGGCCAGAATGTGGGTCTTTGGAGGTTCAAAAGCCAAGAATTAACCACTAAACAATTAACCACTAAACTGTGCATCTGTTTGCATTTCAGCTTTCTCTGGGCTGGCAGGACAGGTGCCCCCAGGATCTGGGGTGGAGGAAGGGAAGGCCCACCGGGAGCACTGGTCACACCCCCGGCCCCCCAAGGAAGACCCTTGGTGTGCACAGCACAGCTCCCTTGTAGCCTTGGCTGGCTATCACCACTCCTTGGCTAGACCCCTTTCTGCCCCTTTGCCCCTGTTTTTGCTGTCAAAACCCCTCCTAAGGCTATTTCTGCGGCTTTGCTGCAAGCCTAAAATTAGTTCAAAAAGTTAAAAAGAAAGGAGAGAATCTTCGTGAAGCGAACAGCACAGTAATGGTTGCTGCCGGCAGGGCATCTGGATGGACGCAGACCCCGGGGGTCACAGCGGAAGGAGTCGTCTGCCGCGCATTCTCAGAGCATCCTCCAGACTTGAGGTCCAAAGGGAAGCTGAGGACACCACCGGGTCTGGCCATGGAAGGGCCGGCAGCCAGGGAAGGGCACGGGTGCAGCCAGGGGAGTCTCCTGAGTGGCAGAGGCTTCTCACCGGCTTGGGCTTCAGCTCAGGGAGTGGCTTGGCTGGAGGAGCAGGGCGGAGCTGCCGGGAGGGAGGGGCGGCAGTCAGGCCCTCTGGGCCCCTGGGTTTTGTCCATGGTCTCTCGGGGCGGGGCCATCAGCCTTATGAGTGCGCTGCTGCCGGGGTCTCCAGCTCACCAAATCCAGCCCCCAGCCCTTGCACTCCCCGCCTAGGACCCGCTTGGTGCCCCCAGATGGCCTGGCTGCTGGGCCCCACTGCTGCTCACCTGGTTTGGGGGCAGCCGGGTGTACACAGGAACGGTGAAGGGAGGGTTGGACATGGTGGCTGGAGGCTGCAGGGGAACAGGGTGGAGAGCATGGGTCTCACAGGGAGGCTACCTCCAGGGAGTCTGGCTTTGGAGCTCCGCCCCCAGCTCAGGAAGCAAGGTTCCCACCCCTCCCAGAGGAGGGAGAATAAAGTGTGCGCATGCAGGGCTCTGCCCCACCCCATTGGCCCCCAAGGCCTGAGCCCAGGTGCGACCCCAACACTCCCTTCTCTCAGCCTTGTTGTGGAGGCGTCCAAAGGTGCTGGGCAGCAACAGAGGGTATCTGGGCCTTAACACCTTCCAACTGAGCCTGCAGAGGCCGAGAGCCTCGGGTTCAAGTGTGGGTTCTCAAACTGTCCACCTGTGAAGCCTGCTTCTCGGAGGTGGGGCAGCTCTAAGCCCTGTTGGGAGGGATCAGGGATGTGGCCGAGGGATGGCGGCTGTAGTGCTTACAGCAGGGGGCGGCTGCCTAGGGGTCACTGTGGAGGCCGTGGGCCTGGAGGGCTGGCTGGGGTGGGTGGTGGGGGCCGAAGCCCCACCCTTGGCTGGCACACCGTGCCCTTCGTGGAACAGGGGGTTGGAGAGCCCCTTGGCGGTCTTGGGCGCTGTGTTCCTGGGGAGAAAGCAAGACTGGTCAGTGGGTCCCGGCCTCAGGATCTGGCCCAGGGACTCAGGGGCTCCTGGGTGTGTCCTGCAACCGGCAAGAAGGGGTGAGGTCCCATAGCAGCTGCGCACCAGGGGCGGAGCCCACATCATCCCAAGTGCGCTGGCCCTGATTAGGGGATGGAGGGGCTCTCTCTGGGTTTACCACGTCCACCTGTCAGCCACGTTTGTCACCTGCCCCCCCGCCTCGAGAGGCAGAGGACTTGAGGCCCTCTATGTGAAGGGTTGTTCCTCTTCTCAAACTTCTGTGGGGCATTTCCCAACTGTGTTTGAGTGTGGGAAGTGCTCCTTGCCCATGATGACATTTTGCAACCCCAGAACAGGCTCACCTCCAAGAGGTGTGGCTCCGGGCCTTCCAGTAGAAGACCGCGCCAGCCAGGAGAGCCACCAACAGCACCACAGAGACGAGCACGCCCACCAGGAGGCTCCTGGACCCTGTGGGGGTGCATGAAGCCAGGCGTCAATAGGGTAGTGAGGGCTGGGAGGGCTCTGGGGCTGAGGAGGGGACAGTTTTCTCAGGCAGAGGACCAGGAGCTCAGGGCCCATCTGAGGAGCCTGCACACTGAGACCCAGTCCCTTACACCAGTGCTGTAGGCTCTCAGATGAAGGGCTGGAGGGCTTGGTGGGGACTGGCCCCCGGCCCACAGTGATGTGAGCAAGGTCTGGCTGGGCCCTGGAGGCCGTGGTGCTGCAGATGGCTGCATGCACAGTGGCCACTGCAGAGGAAGACACTTGGGGGAGTCGGGGCCCCTCAGACTCCTGCGCTCAGAAGGGGGCCGAGGACCCAGCAAAAGGGCTGGCACGCTGTCACTGCTACTGTATCCTCCCTCTAGGACAGGCCTCTCGCCGGCCTCATGTGGGCTCGAGACGGCCACACCGGCTGCTGAGCTGTGCCTTGCACCCGTGGGGTCAGAAAGCCCGGGGTCAAGGACTGCAAACCTGCAAACCAAGGACTGAATCTCTAACGATACCCCGAGGGACTTGGGAGGCACGTGGTGTCCTTCTCAGTCCTGCCCAGGTGGTCTGAGGAAGGACGGGACCCGCGCTGGACCCCATCAGGCTGTGCAGGCTTGCAGGTGCCAGGGCCTACCTGTGTGCACGTGGGGCAGCAGCTCTGTGCAGCGGGGTGGCACCCAGCCCGGGTGGCAGTGACACTCTCCCTTGTGGTTGCACACCTGGGAGTGAGCGCGTGTGAGGACCAGGCTACTACACACCTGGGCAGCCCACTGGTGCTGAGCCACCAGGCCTGAGAGGGACTCTACCGTGCCCCCCGGCTGGTGGAGGATGGGCCGGCTCACCCACGAGCCCAGCCCCTCTGTGCGTGGCTGCCACAAGCGAGGCCCACAGCAAGGCCAGCACGTCAGGCGCAGTCAGGGGCAGCTCCCCGTGGGCTGTCCTCAGGGCATGTCCCCAAACCTCTCAGAGACAGGGGCTCAGGAGGGCAGCGCCCCAGCCCCTGGTGCCTCGAGCTCTCAGGGCTGACTGTCCTGCATCGTGACACAGGTTCCTGAGAGCGGACTGCACTCGTCCCCATCTCAGAATAGAGCATTTCAAGTCTGGCCAGCCCCAGCCCACATGTCCACCGGCACCACTGCCCCGGGGCCTCAGTGTTCACGTGGGACGTCCTGATCCCCATCAGCTTCTGGCCATGTCCCCGGGGCGCTGGCTCGGCCCCTGCTGTGCCTGGACTCATCTCCAGCGCGGCCTACCCGTCCCCTTCAGACCCAGAGGGCGGGTGGTGGGATGTCCCGTGGGCTCACGTACCCCATGGTTGTTGCACTGGGCGGAGCAGTTTCTGGATCTGTAAACTTGCAGGTGCTGGCAGAGTCCTTTCCAGCAAATCTGAAAGGCAATGGGGGGTCTCCTCAGGTAGACGTTCTAGACCACTGCCTGGAACCCGTGTCCCCACTTCCACCATCAACTGAAGCTGACCTGCAGCCTGCACGGTGAGCTTTGGGGGAGGCAGGCCACGGCCACCACATCCAGGCTGGCCTGGCCTATACTCCATCTGCTGGCCAGCCAACCCACAGCTGCCACCAGGGCCAGAGGACTGGCCCCACCCAGGCCCAGGGGGGCATGGACTTGCAGAACAGAACGGTCTTCAAACCCTAGGAACTGAGGACCGGCTTCTTGAGCAGCCCCCCACCCCAACCTGTGCCCCTGCTGAGTCTCTCTGAAGCACACAGAGGAGTCCGTGTGCACGGCCCTTGGACCACATGGGCTTGCCTACGTGGGACACGTGTCTAGGACCTGGGGGCCCAGCAGCCTGACTGCCACAGGGGGCATGTCCAGGCTCGTATTTGGGTCATAGCCCCTATAAGCTGCAACCAGCTGACGCGCCTGCAGCAGACGGGGCTCTGGGTGCTCACCCTCTCCTCGCCACACTTGGTGCCTTCAGGTACTGGCTCATACCCAGCACCTCCCTCCAGGAAGAGAGCCTGGCAAGTGCCCGCGTGGGAGGTGAAGGTGCAGTAAGTCCGCTCTAGGGCCCGCTGTCCGCCCTCACAGTATAGAATGCCACAGTTGTTGACCCTGTGGACAGAAAAACAAGCCATGCAACCAGCTCTGCTGGGTCTCCCGCCTGTTGCATGCTGACCCCCCTCTTAGGACGACCTGGGGAGCTGCAGGAAATGAGGCCCAGAGCCCTCAGACAGGCTGTAGGGTCCGCTGATGGGCACCTACCCCGCCCCCAGTGACAGCGACACACCCTCCCTCCCATGAGGGCAGATGCTCAGGCCTGGGGGTCCTGGAAGGCAGGGTGGACCCCCTGGAGAACCCTCTGACTCAGTCCCCAGACTCCTTTGTGCAGAAGACCCTCTTGGGCAGCCCCACTTCCAGGGACATCCTGTGGCCCTGGACCCAGGGAAGTCAGGCCACGGATGACCACTCACCTGCTGGAACCGTGGGCGAGCCAGCCCCGGCAGCCTGGTGAGATGCTGTAGGTGTAGCATGTTTTCATGGCAACCCGTGAGCCTGTGGGGGCCGGGAGGAGGTCAGTCCTCTGGCTTGGGCCCTGCAGCCCCCCGAAGGCCAGAGGGCACCTGCCTCACCTAGCCCCCACAAGTCTTGGCACCTCTGGGCCAGCACGGGGCAGACCCCGTTGTAGCAGTAGCCCCCCGGGCAGGGCGTGCCATTCTCCTGGAAGACGTCCTCCGGGCACACTGGCTGCTGGCCATCGCAGTACTCCTCAAGGTCACACGTGTCCTTTGGGGGACGGCACAGCTCACCAACAGGCGTCACCTGCCCAGCAGAGCGGAGCTCAAGTGTGTGTCAGCCCCCTCCCCGGGGCCCCTTCCCACCCACCGGCCGGGCCCAGCTGTGCGGGGCAGGAGGGGCACTGACCCTGCAGCCGCGGCAGCAGGCACCCTGTGCGCACTGGGCCCCCGCGGACAGCTGACAGGTGGTGGCGTTGCAGCAGGGGTTCCGACAGGTCTGGAGGGCAGAGGCGGGAGTGGGCTCCAGGGCGGAGCCCGGGCCCCCTCCCCAGAGCCCCCGGGGGGAGACAGGCCTCAGGGAGCAGGACTGTTCTGCTGTGGGGCGGCACACGGGGCAGCTGGTGGGTCACAGATGGGCGTCCGTGCAGGCAGGGGGCGGCGGGCATTTGGCCCGTACCTGGGGCGGGCCGCAGTCACACTGCTCCCCACGCTCCACAAACAGGTTCCCGCACACAGGGTCGCCCACCAGCCGGCTGGGGTCCGGGGCGTTGGCCAGGCAGGCTGTCTGAGGCTTCTCCATGAACATCTCCAGGTTGGTGCGGCTGCACTGGCTGAACATTCTGGGGAACCTGGCCCTGGGGGTGCAGGGCGTGCCTCTGTCAGGGGTGTGGGGGCGGGGGCACCCAAGGCACCCCGCTCTGCAAGTGGCCCCCAGCCTTACCCGATGCTGGCCGCCATGATGCAGCCACCGCGCTCCCGTGACACAGGGCAGTAACAGCCCTGGATGTTCTCGTCATGGTCCATGCCCAGGTTGTGGCCCATCTCGTGGGCCATGGTGGATGCCACGCCGATGGGGTTCTCTAGGTTGTGGTCCTAGAAGGCGAGGCTATGCTGGCTGACTCCGCACCCCATCCCAACCCCGCCCGCCCTCACTGGCCCAGAAAGGCTGCAGGCTTGGCACCGCGTCCCGCCAACAACACTTCTTAAAGCATCAGCGCATCCTCCAGGGGAGGTGGCCGCCCAGGTGCACCAGCCGTGGGGACAGCTGGGGACAAGCACGTGGACCTAGCGCCCGGAGGCCAGCAAACCTGGTTCACAGCCCCCGAGTCCTGGGAGCACACGGTTGCCACCTTGGCCAGTCCCACGGTGGTCCCGGTGAACTCGACCCCACTGGAAACAAGAGCAGCGTGCAAAGGTGGATGCCCCCAAAACTGCCTCCCCCTCCACAGGCCTCCCTGGCCGCAAGGGCTTGGCTCTGTGCCCGCCACCCGCATACGTGATGAGCTGCGCATTGTCGTGCTGGTGCCGGCCCACCAGGTTCTGCGTCCGCCACCGGAGGAAGTTGTCCAGTGTGGTGTCAGGGTTCGAGCTCACGTGAATCTGGTCTTCGTGGTTCCACATCTCCAGGCCCACCAGGACCACACGGAAATTGAGCTCCTGAAAAAGCTGGGAGGGCAGGGAAGCCCCAGGTCGGGCTCGGGGACTGCAAGGGCCACAGAGCCCAGCTCCCTGCCCGCTGCTGGTCTCCCCTGCTGGCCCCGCCCCGCTCAACGACCAGGGTTTCTACCCACCTTGTCCACGTGGTTCACCACCTCCATCACCCGGCTGCGTACAGCTGTTCTACCCCCCAGCCGCTGGAACTGCAGGATGGCAGGCCCTCAGATGCCTGCAGCCCCCTGGCCGCCCCAGCCCCGCCCCCACGCCCGGCCCCCCACTACCTCTGTGCTGTCCGTGACCACATACAGCTCCACGTAGCGGGTGTCTCGGGGCAGTGGCCAGTTCTGGGGGCACAAGAAGCTGGTCAGCCACCCCAGCCACAATCCTCCTGGCCTGGGCCCAGTTTTCACACACTGACCCTCTCCCGGGGTCCTGGAGCTGGCACCGGCCCCCTGCTCAGGATTGGGGGTGCCATTCCGGAAGCTCCAACTCAGGCCAAGGGGCGATCCCTGCAGCCACTGGCAGAGCCAGGCCCGATGGGGACCCCTCAGAGACACCCAGGCCCCCTGACTGGGGTCACTGGGTAGAACCCTCACTCAGCCGAGCACAGTGGGAGTCTGGGGGATGCAGTCCCGGTGGACAGCGTATGAGGAAGCTGGTCCGGCCCCCCCACCTCACCTGGGGCCTGAAGGCTGCCGAGATCCGAGGCCCCAAGGCCTTCTCCAAGCTGGTGTCGCTGACCCCACAGGTCCCCGCCTTCTGTTGCAGGTGTTCCGCCCGGTACAACGCGTGCCGCCCCTCTTCACCGTCCCCGTCCAGGGGCTCGATCAGGTGGACGTCCGAGCCAGCCCGGAAAAAGCCCCTGAGGGCAGAGGTAAGCCAGGTGGTTCTGAATTAGAGCATCCCCACACGGGCGTGGGGGGAGGGTCAAACCCTTGAGGGACAGGGGACCTCCTTCTGGTGAGGACAACGCTCCATCTGCACGGGGGACGGACGGCCCCCCAGGCGGGAAGCATACGGGCCACGGCCTCCAGGGCCTGAGGGGAGCCCTGTAGCTCGCGGAAACTGTGACTTCTAACAGGCCAGACGCCCATGTGCAGGAAGGTCGTCACACTGAGCCCCTCTCTTCTCAGCCTCAGTTTATTTCTCTGGAGCATGTGGGGGACGGCTGACACCCCCCCAGGTCTGCGGCACCCACCTGAGGCCGGCACAGGTGCTGAGGCTGGCGGCGGAATGCTGGTGCCCCTCCACGTGGCCCTGGTAGAAGCAGTGACTCTGCAGGAGGGAGGAGGCGTGAGTGGCCCACGGCCCTGCCCCCGCTCTGCCCACTGCCGGCCTTGCGGAGGGCTGTCCTGGGCCCATACCTGCTTTTGTGGGTGCTCCACCACCTGGGAGCCATTGGCAGCCCTGTAGGTCTCCGTGTAGCCCGAGCCTACCAGGTCCCTGGAAAAGAGCCACTGTGGTGCCCGGGGCCCCGCCTGCCCCCACAGAAGCCACCTCTGGCCTGGTGGAGTGGCCGGGCCAGGGAGCTGGACGCCTAGGGCATGAGTATGTGGGCGCAGCAGGCTGGGCCTCAGCTCACCTGTTCCTCCTCAAGTGCAGGGTGAAGTTGTGCCCTTGGGTCCCAAGGATGTAGCTCACACTCTCCGGGTATAGGTCCTGAGCCAGGAGAGGGAGGGGTCCAAGGTGAGGGGACCTGCCCCAAGGGCACAGCACCTCAAGCCTGGGTGCGGTGGAGCTCGGCTGGGCTGCGGATGCAGTCAAGGCCGGGGCACCCTGAAATCTGAAAGTCCCTTGGAGGACCCTGTGGGTCGTTCAGCATCGAGCTAGTATTAGGAAGCTGAGGCTGGGCAGACCTCAATTTCCTCATCTGTCCACACAAGTAATGACTCGAATCCCCTTCCCCAGGAAGCAGGGGGAGGGGGGAGACATGGCCCTGAGGAGATGGGGACATGGCACGTGACTGAGCACCCCAGGGGAGTGCCCCCAGCCTGCTGACCTCTTGGGACAGGACAGCATGAGGGCCCAGGGCGGTAGAAAGCTTTCCCCAGATACCGAGGTCAGGACGGGGCTGACCCACAGGGATTTCAGGAATGCCCCCGGCCAGCCTTGCTTGGGGAATCCCAGCCCAGCTCCAAATGCCCGACAAAGGTGCGTCACCACAGTCACCACAAACTCGTAAGGTGACACGCCCCTGATGAGCCATCGTCTCCGGCCTGAAAGGGATCTGACTGATCTGGCCAGTGAGTGAAACCGGGACTTGCCCTGGGCTAGAAGGGCTCCTGAAAGGCAGCCCGAGGGCCCACACTCAGCAGAAGCCGCTCGCCTCACCCCCCCACTCGCCTCACCCCCCACCGGAGGGCAGGGTGAGGCAGGATGCAGGGGGGTGAGGCCTGGGGGTGGAGAAGTGCAGGCAGAGACAGGCGGTCGGCTCCCCAGGCCGGCTGCTCACACTGGCGGGCACACTGGGAACTACAGACAGACAGACAGCTCTGGTGGGCCAGGAGAGAGCCCCGAGCCGGCGTCCCTGCCGAGACTTACCAGGTGGGAGGGCAGGGCTCGGCGGGCACGGGGTGCTGCCGGCAGGCGTTGGGGCCACACCACCTGGTACTGGTCCACGTGGGGCAGCAGGGTGCTGGGGGCGGCCACTGTGGGCAAGAAGGGGGTCAGCAGGCCGGTCCTGGGCCTGCACCTCCTCCTCTGAGGGAGTCATGAGCGAGCGTGAGCACCAGGGACTCGGAGACGGGGTTCCCCTGCCCTGGGTGGGGCCCACAGGGCGGCCCCTGATATCTCCTCCCCCAGGGCCTAGGGCAGACCTAGACGTCCCCTCCCCTCCCCTCCCCTCCCTCAGGTCTGAGGGCGCACTCCGGCCCTGGGTCGGTTGGGGGGGGTAGGTCTGCCCTCCTGCCCGCAGGCAGTTCACCCAGCCCAGATCCAGAAGCTCCCAGGTATCCAACAACAAACAGCCCTGGGAGTAGGGCCCCGACAGCGACCCTGCAAGATTCTTCTCGGTCTCAAAGTGTTGATGGATGTGTCTCCACGGCCACTATCTTGCGAAAGGAGAGAGAGGCCCCGCCTCCCAGACGTGGGCCCCTCCAGCCTGGGGCTGGGACACCACCGAACCCAGCCCACAAGGCTCCCTCCAGCAGCAGGGAGCGTGGAGACCACCAGCTCCCCGGCGGGCGGTGGGTCCCAAGTGGCTAGACTACCCCCTCCTGCCCTTCTCCCCCCGTGCCCACCCTCAGCTCAGGTCACTGCTCCTCGGTCCTCCCTTCCCTGCCAGGCTGGGGGGGTCTGGGTGGGAGTGGGCAGTCACCCCAAGGCTCCGGGGTGGATGGGGGGTGGCGCGGCTCTCCACCGAGCCCTGTGAGTCCCGGGCCGGACCCGCGCTGGGGAAACGCCCCAGGCGTCTTCTCTCCCAGTTCCCTTTAGAAGTTTCCGTCTGCCACCCTGGGCCCTGCCCGCTGAGGGCTCCCCTCGGCGCGCCCAACCCGAGACTGACCCAGCGCTCGGCGGGGTGCGGAGGGCCAGGGGACCCGACCGCGCCTGGCACTCACCTTGGAGACACAGCGCGAGCAGCTGGAGCTCCAGTCCGCGCATGGCCGGGGCGCGCTCGGGGGGCGTACACGGGCGTCCGGGGCAAGAACAGGGGGCGCGCACGGGCTCCGGGGCCAGGAGGCCAGGGTCCGGGGACGCGGCGCTGGCAGGAGGTGGCTCCGCGCTCGCGACAAGGTCTGGTCCCGGCGACCCGCCCTGGAGACCAGCCCCCGGCCCGCAGCGTATCTGCCCCTCCGACGCTGGGAGGGGCGGGGCTTGGACACCCGCTGGGGAGGGGCGCCTCGCCCCCGGCCGCCGCCTTCGGGCTCGCTCTTGGGTGTTCCCGCGTCTACTCCTGGGCCCCTGGGGGCCCCTGAACAGAGCCCGGTGTCCAGCACGTGGAAGAAACTTCATAAATGTGGATCGAATTAACGGAGGGGGTTGGCGGACAGACTAAGCTGAGCCCCTCCTTGCAAGGTCACACGCCGCTCGGCGCAGGTGAGGAAACCCAGGCTCCGCCTGGCCCAGGGGCCTCTGGCCAGGTGGGGGGGGCAGTGGTTCGGAGCAGGCTCTGTCTGGGGGAGTGGCAGGGGGTGCTCAGGTGCAGATGTGCCCTCAGACTTCCTGGGGAACAGAAAGCTCCCCACACCGCACCCTGGTGCCTCTGCTCTGCAGGGTGGGGCCGCCCCCACTGTGGCCTGGCACCCAGGCTTCTCCAGTGGGTCCGTCACCGGGGGTCCCAGACCACCTGCAGCCGAACCACGTGGCTCCGGAGCTGCGTTCTGGACAAGCTCCCTGAGGTGATGGCATCAAAGTGAGAACCTGTGGGCAGCACAGTCCAGGCCAGAGGTCAAAGTCTAACAGACCCTTATTTCCCCCAAAGCGGATGGCATAAAAAGGCAGGATGGGCTAGCCGACTGAGGCATCTCAGGCAGAGGTGACGAAATGGTCTGAACACGTGCTCTGTCCCCCTGCTTACATACCACTTCCTGTGATGAAACAAGGTGAGACCCCACCTCCCCAGTGATCTGATCTTCTCTTCCTTCCTCGTATGTTACAATTATTTGAAAACAGAAAGTAAAAGGCAAAAGCCCCTGTAATGGCAGAAACCAAAGCTGCTGCGGATGCACACGCTCCGTGGGCAGTGGACCGGACTGCGCGTGCAGCTAACGTCGGCAGCCAGGACCGGCACAGGCCTGCTCCTAGGACACAGGACCCCACGCAGCCCCCAAACACAGCTCTTGTCCCACCCCTCCCCCTCACCACCTGCAGCCCTGAGGTGCCGTGGGCAAGCCTGCTGCCTGGAGCCCAGGATGGGGACACAAGGTTTCTGGGTCTCAGGGCAGGGCAGGAGGGCCGCAAGCCAGGGGCCGGCGGGTTCCTCTGCTCAGCACGAGGTTTGCACAATGCCGGGGCTCTGGCCATGATGGCTGTACACACTGCAGATTGGAAGAGGAAACCGCCTGTGGCTTGAAAGGGAGCCCCTGGCTCCACGGTGCTTCCTGTGCAAGGCAGCGAGCGGCCGCAAGGGGGGACCCAGGCTGCCTCCAGGAGCCTGCTTTTGGCTCTCATTCCTCCGTGTCCCCCAGGAGGACACCCCCTCCCGGAGCAGGTGGTCAGAGATCAACTGGGACAGTGACATATGACCTCTGGCAGGTGGACAGCATGGCGGGAGTCACAGGTGTGGGGCGGCGGGGTCAGGTTCCACCAGCACCTCTGCGGGCGGGCAGGCGCTCCTGAGGACTCCCCCACCCTCTGGCCTGGCCCTGCGACAGTTCGAGGACCGTGCTGCCCCCTAGTGCCCGGAGCCCAGCCTAGCACAACAGTGGATTTCTGGGAGTCCAGGCCCCTGTACCTGACCAGCTGTGGACACCTACCCCGTCCCCTGCATGGCATTTTGGAAATTATCTTCATGTTGCTCAAATGCCGTATGTTTTCAATTTCTCTTTATTTGAGAACAGAAACATTTTAAAAAGTGACCCTGCTCAACTGAAGAAAGTTCACAGCGAGCTTGTGCGGATGCCCGCTTGGTCTGGGCAGCTGCTGCAGAGCAGAACCCAGGACCCCAAGACACGAGAGCAGCACGCAGGAATGACATTCAGACTTTATATTTAAACATCAACAACAGGTGGTTCAGCGATATTCAAGTTAAAGGTTTTGAACTCATTTCTCCAAAGCACCTGCAGCCTCACTGTGCAGTGACAGCGACCCTGGGCGCTGATGCTGGGGGGCCCCGTGGGACAGGCACCTGGGGGGCTGCCTTCTGGCTCCTCTCTGCAGAAAGACGCTCCAGGCGCTCCGTGTAGAAGCCATTGAAGTCCAGTCTGCGGGAGGAGACGGGCTGAGCTCTCGCGCAGATGCCCCAGGTGCAGAGGTGCCCTCCCTGTGGTGCCACACCAGGCAACCCATCCACCCCACAGTCAAAGGGTCGGCTCTGCACCAGGTGCGAGGAACACCCACCCACACAGCCTTCCCTGGTTCAAGCAACACTGACATTGGAACCTAAACACACATGCAAACTGAAAGCAAAACAACCAAAACTCCTAATTAGGGGTTTAAGCAGAAGCATAGCTTCAGTTTCCCTGCTAAAACCCCAGCAAAAAAGCTGTCCCCCACCCCCCACCCACCTCCCTGGTAGCCCCCCCCAGCCCCTGGATGTTGGGGCTGGCCTTACCTGGCACAAGGGCCCAAGGGTGCCACAGGCTGAGGTACCCTCAGGTGTCCATCTGACACCTTCCCAGGTAAGGACACCTCCCCCAAATCATTGGAAATCAGCTGACCCTCTGCCTCCCCTCTGTAGAGTGGGGCATCCAGGACACTGCCAGGCTTCACAGGTCGTGGGAATCTGCTGGCCCCAGAACCACAAACTGGCTGACCAGCTTGCTGGCCCCCTGCACCTGTCTTCACGCTCCTGCACTGTCCTCCCCAATGGGCCCTCCCAGAGCCACCAGGAATGCTCCGTCACACCTCCTGAGAGTGGTGACAAGGCCCAGCCAGCCCCAAGAGCCCAAACACGGAGGCTATTCAGTAAGCGCTGCCATGACCCCCACTGTTGGCTCCCAGTGACTTCCTGGCCTGAGCAGCACTGCTGGTCTTGTCTTCCCTTGCCTGCCTCCTGGCTGCTCATCTGAAAATGGGATGATGCTGCTGCCATGCATGGCCCAAGGCTGGGGACTGGGGGCTGGGGGGGGGGGGCCCTTCCAGTGTCCTGGGTCCTGGCTCAGGGAACAAAGCGTTGGGTGAGCCTGAGCCAGCCCGGCCCACAGACAGGGACCAGCTGGGGCACGGACGGTCACTGGTGCACACACTCACGAGTGAACACAAACCACCACACACGTGCATCTGTCACTTCAGGGAGTGAGCAGTGACCTTGAGGTGAAGGACGAACGCCCGCACACCCAAGCAGACACCGCCTCAGTCACCCCCTCCCTGAGGTGGCCCAAAGCTGCATAGTTGGGGGGGGGGCACATGGGGGAAGCCAGGACTCCTGGCCACACGGAGACAGGATGGTGCCATCCGCACCCACCTGGAGATGACGCTGGCCATGCTATGCTCACAGTCGCTGGTGCTGTAGAGGCTCAGTCGGGCCAGAAGGTCAAGCAGATGTGCCGAGAAATTCTTATCAAACTTGTTGATGGTGGCCTCGAAGCTGGAGGTCAGCTGAGGGGCATCCACGTGCTCAGCGAGGTACTAGAAGACACGGTCGCACACCATGAGTGCCTCTAGCCCCACCTCAGCACTGCTCCCTACCAGCTCGACTTCCCTCCCCACCCCCTTTTTTTTCTAAATAGAAGGAATTTGGGCAAGTTTTCATGTGATAAAAGTTAAGGCATCATAAAAGTTCCCGAGATGCGGAACACAGAGACATGCTCTGTTTGGGCAGTTGGCGCCCTGCCCTGCTCCCACCACAAAGAAGCAGCAAGTCCATGCACCTCATGGGTTCTTTACGTGGCTCAGATTTTCAAGGGAATGCAGCATTTTCTCCTGGCTCCCTCTCAGCAAAGGGAGTGGACACGGGAGTACGGGCCTGAGCTCCCTCCAGAGCTGGGCCTGGTGCTGCAGGGCCCATGCCCCTCCCGCATCCCCTCAAAGAAGGTGGAGACACCTCGCCCTTCTATTTAAGGCTGGACTCTGACTGTAGTGACAGCAGGGCCCACGGCCCTGTGCCTGCTGCATGGCAGGCCCTCTGCAGACACCCCAACCCCTGCTCTGGGGAACTGTGGCCTCACCCTCAAGCACAGCGGGGCTGAGGTTTGGACAAATCTGGAGAAGAGATCCTCTAGCTCATGTTTGGAACCTAATTAGGATGAACTTTTTTTAATCAAAGGGACAACACGATGGGGTGGAGCAGTGGGCCTGCCGGACAAAGCCGGAGGCTGCACACCTTCCTAGCGAGCTCCTTGCGGGCACGCTCCTCCGCCCGCTCGGCCTCCGTGGGCGGCCCCAGCATCGTGCCGTGCTCCAACATCAGTCGGCCCAGCTCACCATCCAACTTCATGCTCTGCGTAAATCTCTTGGGGTCAGGAAGAAATGCTGTTGTTAGTTTCAAGGAGCCCAAGTGGAGTATGTACCACCGCACAGCTGAGGCACCATCTGCAGATGCGGGGACAGCAGACGTGAACTCGGGGAGCTGCAGCTGTGCCCACATGCCTTCTAAGGGTGCCTGTCAGAGGGCTCGTCAACAGAGTCTTCTGAAGACGGCACCTCCCCAGGGCGAGCCCCATATGGATCTGGCTCCCAGGCTCCTATCCCCCAGAGGTTGGCAACCACCTTGCACGCCCTGGAACCCTGGTGAACCCTGCGTCTCCCAATCTGCCTCCCAATACTTACTTTCTGTATCAGCATTTTAGGAAGCTGCTTGTAACTGAATCAAATAACTTGGACAAAAAGAACGCCAGGCGCCCAGAAAAGGGCTGGGGACAGAGACGCTGCAGCTGCTGGTCCCAGCCCACAACAGCGGAAGGGGCCTCAGAGAGACAGCCCTGCATAAGGCGGGCAGAAGGCAGGCAGGCTGCATGGTGGCGCACCTGCATGCAGTTGGTGAACATGACGCACACGGACAT